TGTATAAACATGGATTAACACTGAAAACCCAAGGAATTAAAGGGTAAAAATGGAGGTTAGGGCTTGAAACTTAAGAAAGTTAAACTAGGGATTTGAGTGGTCAAATGGACTCCGATTTTGGTGAATTTTATATGTATGGACTCGTGGCGAGACGAGGAATCCGGTGATGTGAATTTCGTAATTTTTCGAGAAGTGGGCCCGGGGCTCGGGTTTTGCTAATTTCGCGATTTTCGATATTTTTCGAGTCTTTTCGATTGGGTTATGTTTCTTTAGCCTATTGTAATGTATTCGTTGTGGTTTTAATCAGATTCGGCGTGCGAAGAGGTTGATTCGAAAGGCAAAGGCATAGCGAGCTAGACTTGTGGCCGGCTTGAGGTGAGTAATAGATGTAGATGATGACCTGAGGGTTTGAAACACCGGTATATCACATTGTGACACTATATTGAGGCGAGACACGTACTCTATGACGAGTGCGGGGTCGATTGTGACTGGGGATTGTGACCTAGTCCGTTCCGATTGATGTTCGTACTGTGTTCTTGACTAGAAATTGTTTGGTAATCATCCTACTTGGATTTTATGAATATGTTCGGGGCTTTGTGCCTATCATTTGCATCCTTCAGGGGTCCTTATCACTGCTTCCATGATGCTTAGCATATTTCATGATATCAGTCCTGAGTTAGACACTGCCTCGAAATGTTTAGTAAATAAATAAAGGTTTAAACACTTAGCTCTATAATTCCTAATAAATAATATTTCGGGATTTCTTACTTTCAGTCATTATATATGTTTATTACTCACTGAGTTGGAAGTACTCACTTTACTCCCTGCACCATGTGTGCAGATTCAGGTGCTCCGGAGACTTAGTGGAGCTGTTTGCTGTGATCGTGAAGTTTATTTTCAGGAGTTGTTGAGGTAGCTGTCTGACGTCCGCAGGACCCGACTCCTCCCCTTTATTTTATTTGTTTCTTTCATATTCTAGACTTCTTTATCACTATGGAGATATATTACTCTATTACATCGCTCTAGACTCGTGACTCCAGATCTATTGGGGAATGTTTGGATATTCGTTATTATTTTCCGTACTATTTTATTTAGATTCGGATTGGAACCTTGATATTTGCTATTTTAATCGTATTATTTGTTAACGGATTGCGTATTTGGGTTGAGAGTATTTAATTGGTCGGGCTTGCCTAGCATTAGTGTTGGGCGCCATCACGATCGGAATTGGGGTCGTGACAGGGATGACAAAGCGGGATAAGTAGAAGTGTTTATTAGGCTATTCTGCCCAGTTTTAAAGATATAGATCATCACTTGTATTATATACAACCATCTGGATAAATATGACAAGAAAAATATAGTACGTACTCATAGCATTAAGTACTGGAGTTTCGAGGCGATCTAAAGCCAGAAAATATGGAGAAAATATAGATGTAGTTTGTATTTAATAATAAAATATTTTCCTTCATATTGGTATCAGAGCTTCTACGATATTTTCCTTCGTAGAAGCTCTGATACCAATATGAAGGAAAATATGTTATTATAAAATCTCTGAAAGCTTTCTACAGTTCTCCTCAAATCTCTACACGTAAAGTAAGCTATTAATACTCCTATTTATAATAGTATGAAAGCTATGTCA